GTTAATGAGTCTCTGGGTTATTTCTGGTTTTCATTGTGAAGAGTCCCAGCAGACCTGTTTGTTTCACTTGCAGCATTGCTGGATAAACTGCCGTCTGCCTGTTGTGTCGCAGCCCCACAGCCTCGCGCAGAGAATCTGCCCTGCCGGCTTCTGTGTCCTGCAGTCTGGGAACCTCTGGGTAGTGGCAGTGGGGGGAAATGGATGAAGCAGCCCTGCGTTGTTTTTTTTTTTTTTTTTTTTTTTTTAAGATTTCTATTTATTTATTTGAAAGGCAGAGTTAGAGAGAGAGGGAGACAGAGAGGAGAGAGATCTTCCATCTGCCAGGAGCCAGGGTCCTGAGCTTCTTCCCAGTCTCCCATGTGGGTGGAGGAGCCACATGGCAGCCTTTTGCTGCTCTTTCCAGGGGGCATTAACAGGGAGCTGGATCGGAAGTGGAGCAGCCGGGACTTGAACCGGCATCCGTATGGGATGCCAACATTGCAGGCAGTGGCCTGAGCTGCTGTGCCACGACGCGGGCCTCCTTGCTGGCACTCTCCCTGCTTTCTCTGGCTGACACCCAACCCTGGGGTATGCTAATGAGCCCAGCGTGGTGGTGCAGGGCTGCAGCCTGCAAGAGTGACTCACAGCTAATGAAGTCGGTGTTCAGGAGCAAGCTGCACCCCGCCGCCCGCCGCCCGCAGTGACCTCTTCACCGCCTGTAATTGCCCTGTTATTTCTCTCCCTGTGCTGTTGAGCTCTGTGGCCCTTCGCTGAGCTGAGAACACTGACTTTTCCTGCAAACGCGTGGCGGGGGATGCGTCTGACCTCCGCTGTCCCTGCAAGTTAAACAGTCCTGGTCTGGAGAGCAGGGACCGGCTCCCCATCCTGACTCCTGCCCCTGGCCCCTCCACAGTGCACTTCCCAGAGCAGGAAATTGAGGCCAGGATGTTTAGACTCCTGGCTGCCCCACCCCTGGGCTGTGGGCCCCTGTCCCTTGGGGGTGTTGTATGGCCTCTGGGAAATGCGGGCTGGATGTGTGGAGGACCCTGGTGTAGGGAGGAGGCGGGGCGCTTGGGCACGTGAGCCTGCTGGGACATTTCCAACCAGGAGAGTGGCTCCCGCGAGGACCGCTGGGCCTGTCTGGGTGGCCCTGTTCCTGGAGGATGATGGTGCTGCTTCTGTGTTGGCCTTTTCTTTCTTGCTTCTGCATAATGGAGTTGGGAGGGAGCTGGGACTGAGAACGTGTGTGGGCCTCCCTTGGCATGGGGCCGTTGTCAGCCCCGTGGTCCTGTTCCCTAAGGAGTCTACCACCCTGGGTTTGTGTGCCCAGGCTGCGGGGGTGAAAGAACCTGAAGGGGAACCCAGCTGCTGAAAACTGAGCTCCTGCACTGAACACCCCAGACCCCAGCCGTAGCTGGTGTGGAGCGGGTGTTAACAGCTGGCTAAATGGCCTGCACTTTTGACATGGTTGGACTGGACACTCACGGTCAGTCTGTGGGTGACTCCACACTGCCTGCCAGTGCCCGCTCCGTGCCCTGCAGCCCTGAGGCTATGCACTGCATGTGCTTGCTTTGTTGGTACCGGTGGTTCTGCGCTGTGAACTTGAAGCTGCGGGACTTTGACGGGCCATCCTCTCTTCCCGACTCTTAGGCTCAAGTGGACTGAGTGAAGAGGGATCCTGTTTATTGGTTATCGGCTTGGATGGCCTCAGAGTGGCACTCTTTGTAAATGGAACCGAAACTGGAGTATCCTGAACGAATTTCTGGTAGTTTAAAAAAAGAGAAGAAATGCAAACAGCATTTCTCACTGTGGGTATTTTGTGGTGTGTCCAGGAGAGGCAGGCAGGGAGTTCAGCCAGCCACCCATGCACACGTGTCTCAGTACAGAAATCGAGTTTCTAAGATGGAACTGGAAGTAAGCATCTTAAAAAGTGGAGCGAACCCATTCCATGTTTGTCCAGCAGCAGGCACCTGAGTCCCTGCCATACCTCAGGTCACTGCCTGCGACAGGTGCCAAATTGTTTCTGGGTTTAAGTCTTCAGAGTCTCCTAGGATTTTGAGAACTGTAAAAACCTACTCTTGGATAATGCCGTTGTGTTCTGAAAACAAAAGCACCGTGTGTCCACTTGGCAGACAACAGCAAAAAATGCAGGAGAGCTATGGATACAGATTCACTGCAGAACCAGGGACAGATCCCCAAGTCTCACGAGAGGGGGCCTAGGGGTTTCCACACCCAGTACTCTCTCCACCATGGCTGCCGTTCCCTGAGCCCCTCTGCTTCCCGCCGGGCGTGTGTGCATTGGATCCGGTACGCCCCACTCCCCAGTGTGTCCTCACTCCGCGTTTTCTCCTTTTTCCGTGCTATTATCGCAGTGGCCAGAGGTTGCCTTTGAGGAGAGCAAATTTGGCAAAATGCGGATGCGCTCCCTGGCGAGTGCGCCAGACTGTGTGACGTCCTCTGTCGCTTCTGGGGTACAGCCGGCTCAGAACGAGATGTTCTCTTGTGAGCCTTCCCATCGGTTTCTGATGGTCAGATTTCTGGAGGCCAAAGCCACAGTGTGTCCGTTTCCTCACATTCGGAACATGGTGTGGGAAAATCAGTGTTGTTGTGGCAGAAGGCAGAAACACGGAGCAAGGAAGGAGTTCTTTTTCAGCCAGCCTTTGCAACTTGATATTTTGGGGGATGCACACAGTTGTAAGCGCTCTGCAGATGCGGGCTGCACAAGCTGCTTCTCTCCGCAGCGAGGACCTGGCCTTGGCACACGGCAGCCCAAGCAGAGACGGCACGGTCACTGGGCCGCCGTCCATCGCCAAGGCTTGTCACCGTTGCCTCCGAAAGACCCCCTGGATCTCGTTTGTGCCTGTCTTTTTTTTTTTTTTTTAAAGATTTATTTATTTATTTGAAAGTCAGAGTTACACAGAGAGAGGAGAGGAAGGGAGGGAGGAAGGGAGGGAGGGAGAGAGGGAGAGAGAGAGAAGATGCAGAGAGAGAGAGAGACACAGAGAGAGGTCCTCCATCTGCTGGTCCACTCCCCAATTGGCCGCAATGGCCAGAGCTGCACCGACCTGAAGCCAGGAGCCAGGAGTGTCCTCCGGGTCCCCAACGCGGGTGCAGGGGCCCAAGGACTTGGGCCATCCTCCACTGCATTCCCAGGCCATAGCAGAGAGCTGGATGGGAAGTGGAGCAGCCAGGTCTCGAACCGGTGCCCACATGGGATGCTGGCACCCCAGGCCAGGGAATTAACCCACTGCGCCAGAGTGCCCCCCCACACCTGCTCTTTTGAATGCAGCCTTCCCCCTGCTCTGCTCTTCCCCTCGCACCCCCCAGCCCCCCCCCCCCCCCCCCAGCCCTGCACAAGCCAGTCTCCCCAGCACAGCCACAATGAGCTTCTGGAAATGCAGGTGTGGTCCAGCCCCTTATGCTCGGACCCCACTGGGGTTTCCATCTGCTTTCCCGTGGGACAAGAACCATCGTGTGGTTGGTGGCGCTCTGCCTTCCTAGGGGACACGACTCAGACAATGCCGCATCCACGGGGCACAAGGTGGCCGGAGTGATCACAATGTGAATGGTGAGAAGTCAGGTGTGTTCACCCGTGATGCGGCCCCCCAGGATGGGCCTGCCCTGCCTGGAAACTTCTAGCCCACCAAAGATCCATGAAGTCAAAAACTCTGCGTGGGGCTGGCATTCGTGCAGTTACAACGTGGGTTAAGATGCCTCACACGCCACATGGGAGGGCCTGGCTCACATTCCTGGCTGCAGCTCTTGCCCCAGCTTTCTGCTCATGCAGACCCTGGGAGGCAGCAGGTCACGATCAAGTATTTGGATTCCTGCCAGCCGCGTGGGAGGCCTGGACTGAGCTCCTGACGCCCAGCTTTGGCTCGGCCCAGCCCTGACCACTGTGATTGCTTGGGGATCAAACAGAGATGGGAGCTCTCTGTCTCCCAAATAAATAAAATTAAAAAACAGCCACTCTGGGATCGGGGCCAAGCAGCGTGTGTCGGACTGAGCCCTGGTGATTCCGACGGAGAGAAACTCTGGGAGAGCTCGAGTGGTGGATGCTGAGGGGTCAGGCGACTGTGCTGAGCGTCCCTGTACCAAGGGGCCTCTTCTTTGTTGTGACAGTAAATTCTGGTTTATTTTAAAATATTTTTATTAGGCTGAAAGAGTCAACAATTCAGCCACTGAGACTAATTTGTTTTGCATTCATCTGAAGTTTGGGAAGTTTACTGCCCAGCAAGTTAGGACAGGAAAGGTCTAAGGCTCCTGAAGATCGAGGCTTGGCCTGAGCTGTCCCTGACTTCTTGCCTTGAACAGCTGCAGGACGTGTCCATGCTTGGGGGAGAGAGGGCAGGTGAGTTGGTTACTGGGGAGGAAAGAAAACAATCCAGACTGGCCAGCAAACACGACCACGAAAACCCCAAGAATGACCACTTCCTGGAATGTGAGGGCAGGTGGAGGGCTCCCTGGCGTCCACGTGCAGGAGGGTTTCACATTTGTTTGGGACTCCTTTTCATGACTGCCTGCCATACACTGAGGCTTTGATGGAGCAGAAGACAGGGAGAGAGGGCTCAAGTGGCCAAGGGGTGGGGCCAGGTGGGGAGAGTGCATAGACTCTGCTTTGTGAGTGGCTGCCCTTAGAAAGTAGGGGCCATGGAATAGGACTGAACAGGGCTGGCTGTGTGGTACAGGAAGTCACCTGTGTTTTCCTAGTTCAGCTTTGAGAGAGTGACTGCAGGAAAATGAGTGACAAGGGGACAGCAGGCTGATCCGTGATGGGTAGCTGGCTGGTGGCCAATGGAGGAGGGGGGAGGAAGGAAAATGAGACAGGAAATAGATTATATTGCTGCCCCCACCCCCTTTTTTTCTACCTAGTAGCCATATAAACAAGAAGAGTGTAAGAAACCCCAGAAATACCCCAAAGTAACATCAGGATGGAGAATCCAGATGTTCCGCGGAGAAACAAGGTAAGGACAATGTAAAGTGAAACCACGCGTTCCTCTTTTCTGTCTCCCTCACTCTCCCTGCCTCCCTCTTTCTGAAGGCAGACTTAAGCATCCTGCTTTAAGCTTCTTCCACAGGGACGTCCGGCCCATGCAGGAGCTTGGGCACCTTCCTGGGAGTGCTGAGAAGTCTTGGAAGGGTTGGGAGGTGGAGAACGCACGGCAGGGCACAGATGGGAGGGCGGCCAGGCTGCTGCAGGGGAGAGGTGGTGGAAGCAGGAGGGAAGAGTATACAGGGGGTGTGCAGGGCGTGTCTTTATGGGACTTGGTCAGTGACTGACCAGCTGTGGGGAGGAGGAAAATTATCGATGACCTGTGCTTTGGGCAGCCAGGCAAAACATAATGCTGTTGAGTGGCTAAGAACAAGCTCACCGATGCTGTTGTGGTGCAGTGGGTTAAGCCACTGTGTGGGGTGCCCACATCCATTCTGGAGGGCTGGTTCCAGTCCCACCTAATGTGTTCTGTCCAGCTCCTGCTGATATATCGTGGAGGGCAGCAGATGATGGCCCAAGTGCTGGGGGCCCTGTCACCCATGTGGGAGACCTGGCTGGGGTTCGGGGCTCATGGCTTTGCCATGGTATAGCCATGGCTGTTGCACACATTTCAGGGGTGAACCAGCGGATGGAAGATCTCTCTCCTTGTGTGTTTCTTTGCATAGTCTCTGCCTTCTAAGTAGATGACAGTAAATTAACGTTAAAAGGACAACACAATAATTGGTGATATTATTAGACTTCATGCAGGTGATAATTAATTGTAGTTTTTTTCCCCTTGATCCATGCTTAGAGAAATAAGATGCAGGAGTTGGACAGAAATCAGAGTAGCACTTTTATTGCCAAAAAAAGCTGATCAGAAGGCTGGGGTGGGCTGTGTGGTACGGAGGTTACACTGCTGCATGGGATGCCGGAATTCCACAGTGGAGCACTGGTTTGCCACCCAGCTGCTCCACTTCCGATCCAGCTCCCTGCTAACGCATCTGGGAAAGCAGCAGAGGATGGCCCAAGGGCCTGAGTCCCTGCTACTCATGTGGGAGTCCCAGATGAAGCTCGTGGCTCCTGGCTTTGGCCTGACCCAGCCCTGGTACTTGTAGCCATTTGGGGACTGAGCCAATGGATGGAATATCTGTTTTTCTTTCTGCCTCCCTCCGTGTCACTCCTTCTTTCAAATAAGTAAATAAATTATTAGGAAAAAAATATCATAACTTAATAGAAGGTAGGGTTTAGGTATGCACCTACAGGTTCTCTTGGATAATGATTAACATTAGTGTGAGTGCTAACAAACTCTCAAGAGTATTGACTTAAGGGAGAAACTATTCATCTAAAAGTCCAGGGGTGAGGGCACTGGTGCTGTGGAGTAACGGGTAAAGCTGCCGTCTGTAGCACTGGCATCCCATATGGGCACCTGTTCGAATCCCAGCTGCCTCCCTTCCGATCCCACTCTGCAATGGCCTGGGAAAGCAGAAGAAGATGGCCCAAGTGCTTGGGCCCCTGCACCCACGTGGGAGACCTGGAAGAAGCTGCTGGCTCCTGGCTTTGGATTGGCCCAACTCCAGCCATCACGGCCATTTGGGGAGTGAACCAGTGGGTGGAAGACCTCTCTGACTCTGCTTCTCTGTAACTCTGCCTCTCAAATAAACAAACAAATCTTTAGAAGTCCAGGGTGTCAGGCCACAACTCATAGGATGTTCTGTGGTGCCAGAGATGCAGTTCCCTTTCCATCTTGTTCATGTGCTATTCTCGGCCCTTTGCCAGGGTGATCTTGGGTGCTCCAGGACTGCTGCAGCCTTAGCCCTCAGCATGCAGTCAGGCCAACAGGAAGAGGAGAAAGGGCAGCTCCACCGAAGGACATGCCAGTTTTTACTGATATCCTGTTAGCTCCAGCAGAGTCACGGAGCCACATCCACACAGGAAGTGAGTATTCCATGTACCAGGCAAAACGGGGGATGCTATTACAGAACGGGAGAAAGGATGCTGAGGGAGCCATCTGTGGTCTCTGCCACACGCCTAGTTAACTCGGGCAGCAAAGCTGGCTGGCCACCGGCTCCCCTGCACGGAGGGGCGCCTGCACCGGGGAACACAGATGAGGCTGAGCCCCATGTTTGCTTCCTTCTTGTTGACACGGGACAGGGCGGCCAGCGGGCCGGAATCTCTTTCCTACCCAGGGCAGTACAGCGAGCTGTCGTAAGGCAGGAACGCGGTACATGATTTGGCCCCACAGTAGCAAGGCTTTCTCAGTTTCCCATTATCCAGCCCGTCTTTGTCTTCACCATCTGAACGATTAAGAAACCTCCCTGAGTAGTCGTAACAGAGTTCTTCTCCTGGTAAAATGTCTTTGGCTGCAAACAGTGCCAACTTGGGTACCATTGAGTCAATTCGGACAGGAACCATCAGCAGGTTTGGCGCACAGGAATGGTTAAGGAACCGCCCGACATTGCCCGTGTGGGTAGGGTCCACAAACGTGGCCAGGACCTGCCCCTGGGACACGTGCTCCCTGACGGCTAGAATGTAATTGGAGTCATGGATCGTTTGTAAGTGAATTCTCCTCTGCGCTTCAGAGGATCCTAAAATCTCCCCGGCATATTCACAGACAAACCTGCCCTTTGGTATAAATTCCAAGGTGCGAAGCCCCCAGCCTTTCAGGTCCGTCTGGAACACTTGGAGGTGGAACTGCAGGCCCCGCTGGACCACCCTGTTTCTGCAGCGGTCACTGCACTGGCACATGATGTTGCACTCAAACACGGGCACGGCGTGGTCTGCTTCGGCTCCTATTCCTCTAAGGCGCAAATGATCATCGTAGTTCTCCTGCCAGCGAAGGCAGGAGCAGGTGCCAGGGAGGCAGGGAGCCGTGGTGCACGCGCATCCAGGAAAGACAGCCTGAGTGGGATCAGTGTCTGCTCCGGGCCCCTCCACGTGATCAGGAGTGTACTGCAAGAAACACAGATGTCCCGAGTCAGCACGGGAGGTCATACTGTTCATAGGTGAGGGACTTCCAAGGTTCATGGGAAATGGAATTAAAAGAAGTTTATTTTGAAATCCACGCATAGTATTTTCATCATTTGTGTTTTCCATAAATGCTGTGGTGCAGTGGGAAAGCCGCTGCCTGCGGTGCCGGCATCCCTGGGAAAGCAGCAGAAGATGGCCGAAGTCCTTGGGCCCTGGCACCTGCGTGAGAGACCCAGAAGAAGCCCCTGGCTCCTGGCTTTGGATTGGCCCAGCTCCAGCCATGTGGCCATCTGGGGAGTGAACCAGCAGATGGAAGACCTCTCTTTCTCTCCCCTTCTGCCTCCTTGTAACTCTGCCTGTCAAGTAAAGTCTTAAAACAAAACAAAACAAAAAAAACCTGATGCTGCACTCAGTGCCACATAAGGATAGTTAGCTTCTCTTCTTTCAGATGCTGTGTTTACATGTTGTACTTATGATATCACACATTTGCCAAATTCATCTCTCAACATTTCCTTACCATTCCATCCCTCCCTGAGCCCTTCATCCCTGAACGTTGTTGTTGTGAAGAGAAAAAATCTTGCAAGAATCCACTTCAAAAGCTTACTCTGGTGTTCAGGAGAATTACGCAGGCACAATAGCAGGGTGCTGAAGAAATCAGGTTCTGGAGTTGAGCTGCCAGGCGGGACCATACTCAAACCAATACTGGCCAGGACGCCACACGATTCTTTTCCTGTCCTCCATTTCTTACCCCTCACAGGTAGGTGAAAGCCAAGAGCTGACACAGTCCCCAAATACCGCCTCTCTGCCTGCTCTGTGCACATGCTGGCATTCAGAAACAATGGCCAGGACAGTAGGAAGGGGCAGGGGCCCGGAGAGAGAGGCTTTTCATTTCTTGCACTGTCACAACCTAAGCTGTACCTTTTCTTCTTGAGGTAGAAGCTGGGCATAAATGCAGTGTGATCAGGGTAAAATGATGCTCTGAGTGGAGAATTCAGGTTTTCACCAGAAAAGAAAAAATTTCAGTGAGCCATGGCTATACAGGAGGCCCACATGGAAGCAGGCGACAGCATTCTAGGCTGAAAACCTGGACTTCAATTCTGAATTTTAACCAAGTGTTGTGAAATCTTCATTCCTTTTTTGGTTGTGTTGAAACCCAGCAACAACAATCTTTGTCCTTGGCCTCCAGCTTCATAAATCAGTTTCTGGCCCAGGCAACTGTAAGGAGAATGAAAGCCAGGTGATTCTCAAGACCCAAAGTCTTAAAAATAATGTTTGAAGCTGCTTTTAGAGACATGAAAAATGGGTAGGTCCAACTCTTAGCTCAAGAAAATGAATTACTTTTTATTTTTATTTTCTCCACGGATGAGGTTATGCTGTGTTTCTAATCTGAACATATTAATGTTCTTTTCTACATTGCACCTCAAAGCAAACCAGACTTGAAGGTATTTTGCCTCGCGTGTCGCATGCCTTAGTTCCTGCACATGTATGCATCTGAGAAAGCACGGTCTGGAGTGGGCAAAGGGTTCTGACCTTTCGTAAGACCGGCTCTGCGCTCGCGAAGGCACTGCTGGCTTCTCTTCTCGCCAGCGCTCCGGGCGTGTTTCAGCGAAGCTCCAGAGGAAGGGTCCTGTCTTCTTTCTGTGACTCCAGCGGGCCCAGAGCTGCGCATAACTGTGGCATGGAGTTTCAATCTCCTGATTTCACTCATTCTTTATTTATTTATTTGAAAGAGAGTTACAGAGAGAGAGAGAGAGAGAGAGAGAGAGAGATTTTCTAACTACTGGTTCACTCCCCAAATGGCCACAATGACCCAAGCTGAGCCCGTCTGAAGCCAGGAGCTTCTTCTGGGTTTCCGACATGGGTGCAGAGGCCTGAGGACTTGGGCCGTCTTCCACTGCTTTCCTAGGCACGTCAGCAAGGAGCTGGACTGGAAGTGGAGCAGCAGAGACTCAAGCCCATGTTGGATGCTGGCGGCATAGGCCGGGGCTTTAACCCGCTGTGCCACAGTGCCAGCCCCTGACTGACTTCCTTCCTTCCTTCCCTCGCTCCCTCCCTCCCTTCCTTCCTCCCTTCCTTTCCTTCTTTCTTCCTTTCCTTTCTTTCGACAGGCAGAGTGGACAGTGAGAGAGAGAGACAGAGAGAAAGGTCTTCCTTTGCTGTTGGTTCACCCTCCAATGGCCGCCACAGCCGGTGCTCTGTGGCCGGCGCACCACACTGATCCGATGGCAGGAGCCAGGTATTTATCCTGGTCTCCCATGGGGTGCAGGGCCCAAGCACTTGGGCCATCCTCCACTGCACTCCCGGGCCACAGCAGAGAGCTGGCCTGGAAGAGGGGCAACCGGGACAGAATCCAGCGCCCCGATCGGGACTAGAACCCGGTGTGCCGGCGCTGCAAGGCGGAGGATTAGCCTACTGAGCTGCGGCGCCTCCCCTCATTTATTTCTAAGGGACAAGGCCGGCGCCGCGGCTCACTTCCAGGCCAGCCCTCTGCTGTGGCCCGGGAGTGCAGTGGAGGATGGCCCAAGTGCATGGGTCCTGCACCCCATGGGAGACCAGGAAAAGCACCTGGCTCATGGCTCCTGCCATCGGATCAGCGCGGTGCGCCGGCCGCAGCGCGCGGGCCGCGGCGGCCATTGGAGGGTGAACCAACGGCAAAGGAAGACCTTTCTCTCTGTCTCTCTCTCTCACTGTCCACTCTGCCTGTCAAAAAAAAAAAATTATTTCTAAGGGACAAACACAAGGCTTCCTCGGCTCTGGCTCCTTTTTTTTCATAGGCAGGCATTTATTTTAATGTACATCAAACCCCATGATTTAATGAACACTAATAATTACGATTATTCTAGAGAAGACAGCTATATAAATTAATCTTAAATAAGATAATTTCATATTTAAAATAAGTGAGTTAAGGAAGATATATTAAACAAATAGTTTCATAACCGTTCTTGGATATGGCAAAGAAAACTATGACTGTAGTTTTGAAACGGATTTACAGAACTCACACACCAAAAGCTACAGTTCATCTAAAAGCACAGACGCTGAAAACCACTCCTGAAGTGGGCCCGCAACAATCTGCAGGCAGGCTGGCAGGCGAGCGAACTCCACCGCCCTGTGCACGGTCAGTTCTCAGCAACAACTCGTTACATCTCCTTAAGACGGGTCACAGCAGTGCAGCTAACAGTCCCTGCACGATACGGGCATCCAGTCACTTGCTGAGTGAAGAACATACCAGCAGGTTAAATAGCACATGGATTTGGGAGGAGGGAGAAACTCCAACCGCTACACCAGCGGGGGCAGAAGGGACCGGTTCCTTGAGTTTCCTGGGGTCGCACCAGCGTGGAACCCAGGCACCCTGCTACTACGGGAGGTGGAGGCCTTAACTGGGCCTTCCACGATGTGGCTGGCACTGAGTAAGCTTTCAGGGGTCATGTGGTGCTAGCCAGGCACTTGGGCCAGGCACTGCCCAAGGCAGCCGCGGGAAAGACCACGTCCGACGTGCATGTCCTGCTGTGCCTGGCCAGTCCTCCCAGGTCTGCTGTCTCACCTGGCTGGCCCTCTGACCCTCAGAAGGGCAGGCGGCCAGCACTGAGCACCCGGCTGGTTTCCTCCCTGCCCACCTCGCCCGCGGACTGCAGTGCACGTCTGCTGAGCCCTGCCAGGGAGGCGGACGGACTCCAGATCCCAGCCAGGAGCTCACGTCCCACGGGGCCGGGCTCAGCCTGCCCCTCGGCTGCGGCCCAGGGAAACGCAGGAAGCCTGGGCCGGGGCGGGAAATGACCTGCCGGGTGCGGGGGCTGCGGACAGGGGCCCTAAGACCCACGACGCAGTAAAGCCAGAGACCAAAGCCGTGCATCCGTGAGCTGCGGAACTGAGTCCATAGGGAGCCGCGAGCCTGCACCTCTCCGCCACCAGGTTCTTCCCCGGGGGTCGCGCGCCGCCCAGCCCCGCCCCCTGGGGTCGCTCGCGTGCAGCCCCGCCGGCCGCCTGGCCCCGCCCCTTGGGGTCGCGCACCGCCGCGTCGGCCGCCCAGCCCCGCCCCTGGGGTCTCGCGCAGCCCCGTCGGCCGCCTGGCCCCGCCCCTGAGGGGGGGACTTGCGCAGCCCCGCCCACCGCCCAGCCCCGCCCCCTGAGGGACTCGCGCTGCCCCGTCGGCCGCCCAGCCCCGCCCTCTGGGGGGGGACTCGCGCTGCCCCGTCGGCCTCCCAGCCCCGCCCTCTGGGGGGTCGCGCAGCCCCGTCCACCGCCCAGCCCCGCCCCCTGAGGGGGACTCGCTCAGCCCCGTCGGCCGCCTGGCCCCGCCCCCTGGGGGTCGCGCACTGTCCCGAGGGCCGCCCAGCCACGCCTCCTGGGGTTTCGCGCAGCCCCGTCGGCCGCCTGGCCCCGCCCCCTGGGGTTGCTCGCGTGCAGCCCCGTCCACCGCCCAGCCCCGCCCCCTGAGGGGGACTCCCGCGGCCCCGTCGGCCGCTGACCCCGCCCCCTGAGGGACTCGCGCAGCCCCGCCCAGCCCCGCCCCCTGAGGGACTCGCGCTGCCCCGCCCACCGCCCAGCCCCGCCCTCTGGGGGGGACTCGCGCTGCCCCGTCGGCCGCCCAGCCCCGCCCCCTGGGGGGTCGCGCAGCCCCGTCCACCGCCCAGCCCCGCCCCCGGGGGTCTCGCGCAGCCCCGTCGGCCGCTGACCCCGCTCCCGGGTTCGCGCACCGCCCCGAGGGCCGCCCAGCCCCGCCCCCTGGGGTTGCTCACGCGCAGCCCCGTCGGCCGCTGACCCCGCTCCCGGGTTCGCGCACCGCTCTCCCTGCCCGTCTCCGCTGCGGGCCGCTGAGCCCTCCCGGCCACCCGTTCCTGTTCCCTACCTTGAAGGGCGGCGGCCTCGCCTCCGGGGGCCACGCGCTCACCGCCAAGTTCTCCAGGCCCCGCGCAACATCCAGCGGCTCAGCTGCGGCCTCACGGTCGTCCTCCGACGCTGCCATGGCCGTCGCTTCCCCGACCAGTCCCCGCCGGGTCGGCGCTGCACTCGGCCGGCCGCGAGGCCGCGGAGGACGCTGGGAGCCGCAGCCGGCGGGCGCGCGGCCTGCTGGGAGCGTGGGCTTCTCCTCAGGCGAGCCCGGGGAGGCGTCTCCCTCAGCCTCCCGTCTCCGTGTTGTAGGGCGCCCCTGCGCGAGCCTGGGACCCGTGTCAGGTACGGACACGGAACCCGGCCCTCCACAGTCCCCAGAGCGTCGGGGGCTGCAGGCGGCGCCTGGCGCGGGCTCGCGACGCCGTTCCGCGCTGGCCGCCCGCGTCGGGGGTCCCGCGCCGCCCCCTCGGAGCCTGCGCCAGGGCGGCGTTGCCCGCGGACACTGGCGGCCGCCGGAGGAGCCGAGCCGAGATGGCTGGGCTGAGGCAGGGGCGGGGAAGGCAGCGGCGCCGGGCGCTAGCGCGTGGCCAGCGGCCTTCGGGGCCCCTGCCTGACTCGAGGACGGCTGCCACCCGGGGCTGCTCTGCAGGGAGAACACGTGCGCGGGTGGCCCTTGGGCTCTCCGACCCCGCGCCGGACGCTGCCTCCCCCCCACTCGGGCGATGCGGGCCCAGCCCGTCGTTCTGGAGGGTCTTCACGTTCACATTAAAGGACAGGAATTCAGTTATTCTTGTGCAAATCTGACTTTTCCTTCTTAAAAACACACGCGGAGAGTAATCTGTTGGTGATCTGCAGAGCTACCGGAAGAGCATGCCGAAGTTCCCCTGTATTTTTTTTTTCGCTCCTTGGATCCTCAAGCTAAGGACTGTGTGCCAAGTCTGGTTGATTTTGTGTTCATGGTGTTTTCCATTTTCTCGTACTTGGTCCTAGGCGCTCATTGCTTAACTTGGAGTATTGAGTTTGTTTTAAGTCTGTCATTCTCCATACCCCCCAAATCACCCTTGTTGCTGCTCTACAATTTTTATCTTTGATGGATTAGAGAGGCAGAGAACCCAGAGACAAATAGACAAATACAGACTTCCGATTTTGTGGTTCACTCCCCAGATAGCCGCAGTGGCCAGGGCTGAGCCAGGCTGAAGCTGGGAGCTGACTGCAACCCAGGTCTCCCACGCAGGTGGCAGCTGCCTCTCAGGGTCTGCTTTGGCGAGAAGCTGGAGTCAGGTACTGAAGCCACGCGTGAAATGCAGGTTCTGTGGCTTGCTGGATCTTAACTACTGGGCCAGATCCCTGCCCCCAGTCAGCTCGTGAAGACGGACATCCAGTTGTTATATTTTGCTGCTTAAAACCCTGTGGGTGCCCCATGTTTTCTCTGAGTCTACCTCATTTATTTCTCTGGTCTCTGTTGCTGCTACTCTGTTTTGAATCCTTTGTGGCACCGACACTTTATTAACAAGCCATGATACTCAGGCCTTTGTGTCTTCGTTCGCATCATACTGTGTCTCCAGTGTGTACACCTTAGGCTCAAATGTCCACTTGCCTGTCATTTTCCTGACTGTTCGTATGGCATTGGTCACTCTTTATCCTTTGGTTCTCCCACTTGGTAAACTGTTTGTCATAGCCTCTTTAATATTGCCACGAAGTCCTTTATTGGAATAATAAACTTATATGTATATGCATATATGTGTGTGTATATATATATATAGATGGTAGAAACATTTTGTTTTTAACTTAAATGATTTTGTTACATGTATCTGCCAGCCTTTTGATACAGGGCCAAGAGTTTGTGTGTGGTCTGTGGGTTAGAGCTCTATGTCCTGTTCAGTCAGAGGTCCAGTTTTGGAGTCTTTAAAGTGGGACATACCTGAAAGGCAGTGAAGCGATCCGAGCACGGTGTGTCCCTCCTCTCCTAGTCTTTTATGCTTTCCTCACACCTACTTCGAATGGCAGAACTTTTGTGTGTGTGCCTTCCCACCCCCCAACCTCTCTGAGTCTTTCTGGAGTATTTCATTTTGTTTTCCTAGAGGGCAAAAACTTTTTGCACTCATTAAATCATCTCAGAATATTATGAAAACGGTTATTCTTTGCATTAAGAGGTTTGGGTATGTGCTCTAAGATCAGACTTAAAAATGGGTGTCCATCAGCAGGTAATATACCCAATTTTGCACTGAAGTATGTGTCTGATACTAAAATGTGTTTGAAATTAGTTTTTAGGGGGAAGAGAAGGCGATTACATATACAAAAAAGAACCAAAGTGCAGCGGTTAGAATCAGACGTGGATAAATTCATTCCTACTCTACTGCTTCCTAACCATGGGCAACAATTGCTAACCATTACTTAGTTTTTTTTTTTTTGTCAGGTTCTGTTTTTATTTCTAAAGTATTTATGTATTTGAAAGGCAGGTTGATTTATCTGTATATCTATCTATATATATCTATAGATATATATGGACACTTCTAGATGGGGAGATATGAGAGAGAGAGAGAGAGAGAGAGAGAGAGAGAGAGAGAGAGAGATGTTCCATCCACTGGCAGAAGGAGAGAGAGAGAAAGAGTATTCCATCAACCTTTTCACTTCCCAAATGGCTGCAATGGCTGGGGTTGGGCCAAAGACAGGAGCCAGGGACATTTGGGAAAGAGTCCAAGTGGCTTTTTCTGGGTGCGTTGGCAGGGAGCTAGATTGGAAGTAGAATAGCTAGCACTTCAACCAGTGCTCCAGTATGGAATGTCATCATCGCAAGCAGTGCCTTAATCTGCACCAGAAAGCTGGCTCCTGAGGCGCTGTTAAATCACTTCCCATGTACTGATTCACTGACTCGGCATCATAAGACATGGCAGACACGCAGCACAGGGCTGTTTTAGATTCCTCTGTGTTCACATTCACAGGACGACGCATGGTGTTGGGCTCACTCAGAAAGGTATGGGACCGAAGCCAGGTCTACTAGCGGAGGCATCAGCTGTCTCTCTTTGGAAACAGTGCTTTTAGCTGTCCACACAGCAGCACAGAACAACCTGGGACCTCATCTTTGTCCTCCCAGAGGGTGGCTCAAATGCAAGCACAGATCCTCATTAATAAGCTTTAAGAGCAGCCTGAATTAGAAGAATCAGGGATTTTAGTGATTTTTTTTATTTTATTTTTTTGACAGGCAGAGTGGACAGTGAGAGAGAGAGACAGAGAGAAAGGTCTTCCTTTGCTGTTGGTTCACCCTCCAATGGCCGCCGTGGCCGGCGTGCTGCGGCCGGCGCACTGCGCCGATCCGAGGCCAGGAGCCAGGTACTCATCCTGGTCTCCCATGGGGTGCAGGGCCACCCTCCACTGCACTCCCTGGCCACAGCAGAGAGCTGGCCTGGAAGAGGGGCAACCGGGACAAAATCCGGTGCCCCGACCGGGACTAGAACCCGGTGTGCTGGCGCCACAAGGCGGAGGATTAGCCTAGTGAGCCGCGGTGCCGGCCAGAATCAGGGATTTTAAAGTGGATGCCTAGTAAGTATTTTATCAGACATACCCCTTCAGTATACGGTTATGTACTTGGTCTTCCTCAAAAGGAGAGAGAGTGTCTTATGCAATAAAATTTGCTACTTGTAGTGTAATTAAGAGAGATAGGATGCATTAGGTAAAGTGCTATAGAACTTAAAAAATGGGAAAGATTACGTCTAGCTGGGGAGATTAGGTTAAGTTTCATAAGGAAGAGGCTATTTGGAATTGACCTGGAAGGAGGGATAGGATTTGGGAAGATTAGGAAACAACATTCCAGGCAGAAGAGATAGCATGAGCAAAGAAAGAAAAAGGTATGTATAAAAAAGAGCAACTTAACATTGGCTAGAGATAAATATCATTTTTCAGGAAGTATGACTAATAAGAGAATCTTGTACATCTTCAAGTAATGAAAGTCCCTTCAACTTAGAAGAAGTGGGAGTTCTTTCACTTCAGGAAGCTTTTGAGCACTGATTACATGCGTAACTCCGTGTTTGCCGGTGTTGGGAATGTGCACATATGAAGACGTGCTGCTCTGAGAGCGTGCAAGCCAGTAAACAGTTACACTCAGAGAAAGCAATAAATTCAGAGGATTTTATAAGAAAGGATTATGGGAGCTGTGAGGGGAACCACACTCCTGTAGATATTGTGCTGTTTCTATTTTTGACTTGCTCTTGGTAGTAATATCTGTCTAGTGTAAAACTGTTTCAAACGATCCATTTTATTTTATTTTTCTGAAGCTGTCGGTGAGGGTGCTTCCAAAATAAGATACTCAGTTCATATCGGAACTTCAGTTTAATTTTTTATCTCATTGGCGAAGGATCCACAGAGTATGAGATTAAGATAATAAGGGGATGTTTGCAGGCTGATATAACCAATCTTCAGAATGCCAAGCAGTCCGTATTTCATCTTTCCCAGGTCTAAAAACCCATCTTACTTTCTGTAGACACCTGCTCTTCTCTGACCGGGAGCCTTGATCTTCAGAACTTGCTCTGAAAATCATTGTAGCTTGATGGTGAAAAGAAAAAAAAAAGTATCCATGAACATTAACGAATTGCCCTGGTTTACTGCTGTAAATAGATTTAGACCTGACTATTCCATTGAACATTCAAGTTTCTTTTGACTTTTTCACTGCCATAATAAAATCAGTAATAAAGAGAAACATTAAAGAAAAAGAAAAGAATTCAATGTAGGACTCCAACATTCCATAGGTTCAATTATCTTTGGCTGAATTATGAGGTATGACCTTTTTTTAAAGTTTAAAATGGTCTCTGATGGAGGTGTTTAACTCACTCTTCTGTGTGATGGTTTTTATGAAGTTCTTCATGGATTTGTATTCAGAGCCATTCTTTCTTCAGCGTCTCACTGGCATTATCTGAGCCTCATCATTTTGGATGCACTTTACAGCCATTGATGGGACTTTTAGAGTGAGCAGAAGTTACATATTTGTTAGGTTAGATGACAGCATGAATAGAAAAGTTTTGGAACATCTTAGCTTCCCAGTAAGAACTATTACTGCCAAGTATTAAGTAGATAAAGGATAGGCGCTGGATCCTGTCATCAAATAAGCTTGTGTAAATGAAATCACGTTGAAGAGAACAAGCAGTTGATACTTGAGAATATTTTTGCCCAGTTCAGTGCTTATTTCCCTCATGAGAACATATCAGCTTCCACCCAGCCCATCACTTGGGGGCAGACTCCCTGGCAATCATTTTTCTGTCACACAGTTAAATGGCTCTTGTCCAGCTT